TAAATAGCATACATACATACATACATACATGCATACATACATACATACACACACACACACATATATATATATATATACTCAAGGTATTTAAAGCATAATATGTAGAGTGCATTGATGCGCACGAGAATCACGTGCTCCTTTGAGGTAACGCAGCTAGGCGGGTGTCGCATATTAACGAAAGAGCTCGCGTTGCAGTATTTGTTCGCCATGCACACCACTTCAGATATCAAGCTGGCGACACCACCACTCACAACAGGTGAGATCGGAGCTCTAACTCGAGGTCAGCACAGTCAACTAGCTTGTGCATTCTGCTAAGCATTCCGAGGTGGCTTGTGAAGCTGCGATTTATGGTTGTGTATTGTTGACGTATACACGATGCCGCGCACCGATGCAAACATACATCGATCCCAGTATAGCGCCACAAGCTCAGACACAGCAGGCATATATACATAAAACTAAGCATATACATATAGATACATAGATATATGCCATTTTGCAGGCTGATGGTAAGGTATATGTGTATGTAAAGATCATCTAATTCACATCCTCGCAGGCTGTCAATAGCCGCTCCTTTGGATACAACACCCTCCCGGCGCGAATTGAGACGTAGCTTCACTCAAGTACAATTGTCTACACACTTAGCGGCAATTGTGTAACATCGTCTGGGATACCAAGTTGTACACATACTTATCACCCATTGACACTACCGCGGCATAGCATCCAGCGAAAGGAACAGAGAACAAACAGAACGAAGCACGGCTGCGATGGTGTCTGTACTTTCTCCTGCACTTCCCATACAACCACGAACGTTGCTGACAATACGTTATGAGCCACCATACTTTGTATCCACGTTATGGTACCGCAGCCTCACATCAAGCATCCGGAGCAGACAATACAACTCCTCGCGCTGGTAGAAAATCTCGATGTACTGGTTCTGTATTTTCAGCAGCTGCACGTATGAAGCCAAATAAGGTGTACATCAAAATATATTGTGGTACCATTTTTTTCTCAAACTTATTTTCTTCCGTGTAAACAACTCCCATCTGATAGGGTGCTCGTTATAATACCCAAAAAAAGTGCGAGTTAAGTATATGTAACGTGAGAATCCCGAGCTGATATCTGCTAGCAAATACATATGTCACGTATACTTTAGTCATGCTGGGCGCACACATGATAGAGATTGCAGCTATGGGCTTGGCTATATAGGTGAAACATGATACATCCTGATTGTCCAAGGTGCGGAGTACACTCATGGCTAGTCGCTTAGGCCGTCGAGCTACCTAGTGATACCAAAAACATGGTAATGTACAAATGTGTAAAAGTTTTGCAAAGAATTGACACAGGCGACGTTGCGAACTTGTGCTCTGAGGTACACAACAGCACCCCTTATCTACAGCTTCGTCTACGGCGTTTCAATAGTACGATCGATACCCTTCAAGGAACAGACCTCACAGATATGATGGTACTCGAAGGCACTTGGCTTTGGTTATACGCCGACTCAGCCGTTACGTTAAGATAACCCGAGTACATTGGCACTCTGAGGAGGCTGAAATGAATATTCTAAACAAACAAATATGTCGAAACAGGGCAACATCGCCTATTCTATCTCTAGCGTCGACTTGTAGATTAAAAAAACAAAAAAAAAAACAAAAATCTCAAAACCATTCAATCAGAATAAAAATAGTTGAATACGTACATGAACAAAAGAAGCATTCATGACATTGAACCATGATCAATTTAAGCATACATGGCATTAAACCATGAACAAATAAGCATACTTGGCATTAAACTATGGACAAAATAAGCGTACATGACATTTAAACTCCACTAATAGACACAACATGAGGGAGTCTCTTCAGGTTGAACTTCTGCAGATTGATTATAATACTCCCGTGACTTCTCCGAGCGAAGACACTATCGAATGGCGCAACACTACGCGCATGCGAGGACAATTTCACACCACAAAAAAATACCTCGTATTGCTTGGGGACATTGATTGAGTCGTCAGAGTGGGTTATAGCTGTTTGGATGATCTTCTTGAGTTCCATCATATTCATTGCCTGAGCCCATGCCTTGTTTCTTGCCTCTATGACTTTCTGTACACAGGAAAGGCATACGAATTTAGCTGAGCGCAGCAGCTTGACAATGTATAATGGATTTCCAACTGGTTCAGATGGGTCAGATGTATTGCCTTTTTTGGGTGCTGGTGCGTTATGCAGTGTATTGTGTACAGGGTAGGTTCGATAGCATACCATTGTTTCTACGCCAAATCGGAATAAAAATGATATTGACAGTGGAATACACAAACTGGCAACAACACGGTCACCTTAAAAAGCAAACCAAGACATCAACGATACCATATCCCCACTACGGACCACCCCCCAAATTTTTTTGAAGAAAAAGAATGAATCGAGAAAAAAAGTTCGCGAACCGGGAATTGAACCCGGGTCTTCCGCGTGACAGGCGGAGATACTAGCCACTATACTATCCACGAGATATTTTCATAGTTTGCAATCCGATGTATATAGATAGAAATCGCAATCCCATACATCTTGGAAGTTGCAATCTCATATATACAGATAGAAATTTGTAATCCCACATGTACGAATAGAAATTTGCAATCCTATATATACAGATAGAAACTTACAGCTAAAAATACGTTTCCGCAATAGGGTTTTTTGACCGACGATATGTTCTATTACACTTATAAATTCATAGCAGACTACATTCAATAAACAATACCCTAGGACTCAATACATGATCCCCGCATCATACCAACCCATCAAGCCCGATGCGAATATGTTTTTCATACTAGGTTGCCCACCTTTTCACATATATTTTACTGATCATTGCGAACAAACACGGGCATACAGCTTTGTGATGCAGTACGTATGAGCCCGCCATGGATTCTTCGCGTTTATTGTAGGCTGAACCATTGTGGAACACTAATTCAACTGTTGCTTGCGCTAACTTGCTTGTCACAAATATCGATAGGATGCAAAAGTACATCTACAAAGCGTATACACAATTGCATTTTTTCGATGCTGAATCTTGAGAGATTACGGTTTGAACCGTCCGCATACAAGATCAGATACCTAGCGCAATTCAGCAGATAAGTACATTTATTCACACAACAGGTACACTCTCTCCATTGTTAACAACCATAGCAATACGCACATACCTGCACAATGTCATGTTGCTTTTGCAATGCCTCGGCTATGAAGCGTTCGCGTGCGCTGTCACTCATCTCCTTCACCTCCGCAGAATGCTCCGCGAGATATGCTCTCTGAGCGCTACAATCGAAACAGTGTATTGTCATCCATACATATTCTTCAGATATCCAAAAGTGTATCCTTCATGTGAACGAATCCTATCGAATCGTAGTTCACAAAAGATTGGGGCCATTAGATCTTTTGGTATCAAGAAGAACAATTTCAGCTTTAGAGGCCAGAGTGCTTGCGCTGTCAGATATCGTTCTCTTCTACTGGCTATCGAATTTTTTTAATCTTACATCGTTTCCACGAGCTGAAAACCATATCGTAATAGTCCTCACATACAATTGGAGATAACACACTCCAGGCCAAAGTAACCCACTGCAAAGCTATTCATAGGGATTATATATATATATATATATACATATATATACATATAATATATATACAAGATATATATTTATATATATGCATAAACATGCACATATAAATATGTATTTGCATGTACATATACATCTATATGTGCATATAAATATACGTATACATATACGTATACATATACATATAAATACATACATAGATAGATACGTACACACACACACACACACATATATATATATATATATATAGAAACCTACCAAGATGCACGACTCGCGTAGAAATCTAGATATGTTTACGGTTGCATATTTGTGTTTCCAATAATCACAGTTTTTATTTTGCATTTAGCCAAAGTAAAGAGTATATAGCAAATTCATATCGAGCCCAATCACAAATACTAGATACCAAGCCACCTCTCGAGTTCCTGGTAAGTATCCGTAAACATGCACACAAATCTTATCACAATAATTTTTAGACATGCATAGCCACAACGTACAATTACCAATAGAATATACACGCAACTCCGCGACACAAATATCATGGTTGCGTTTGGTACAGCTTTCTTTCACTATGAATCATCAGCATCTGGTTCATTGTCATAGTAATATAAACATGCACTACATCAAAGCCTACCTGTCGCTCTTCATCCACTCGAGTTCTTGCTTGGCATCCTGTACAGCCTGCTGTTGCCTCTCCACCTGTCCTCAGAAGTAGAAATATCACAGTTAGTGACACATGCGATACGAAGAGTACTTGGATTGATATATATGCCAGACAACATAATTACCGGTATATATATATATATACTATATATATACTATATGTATATATATATATATACATATATATATATACATACATACATACATATATATATNTATATATATATATATATACGAGATATGTATACACAGACATATACATATATGTATATTTTCACAAACCATTTGTCACACATCCACATATGCATTGACATATATTTATGTAAACTAGAGTATTGTACATTGCATCAGTTCTACTCGATGATATTATAACCAGTTCATCTTCTTCCAAATATACTCTAAAACGTTCCTGATTCCACATCCTCGATGAACTTAATAATCCCCGTAAAGTATATATCTTGATCATCCCACATGCACATGTGACTGCCATTGGGACAGTGCAGATAGCGACCTTTTTGTACCAGCGATGCCTGTTTTTTCATAGCTTCAGGGTCCATAGTGTCATGCTTAGCACCAACCATTAGTGATGGAATAATTATCGTAGACAGCTTATCTGTAATATCCCAGTCGGCCAAAAGACCTCCAGGTACAAACTCGGATGGGCCCTGCATGAGCTCGTATATATGCTGGTTGTGATGGTCCATAGCTCGCTGAACACCATCTGGAAAAGGCACTATTCTACAAACATGGTGTGAGTAGTAGTGTTTCATTACTAATGCATCGTATTCTGGGTTCAGGAAGTCTCCTTTGCTTTCATATTTCTCCATCAGTGCAATCACATCAGGGTCGATGCGACTTCGTAACTTGTTGTTGTATGCTGCATATTCAGGGAATGAGCTCTGCATATTACTGATCACTATAGCTTTAAAGTTCTTCGCATATTTGCTGGTGGCATACTCCATACATAATATACCCCCCTACGAGTTTCCGACGAAGTATCCATTCTCACTATTAATACCCAGACCTTTCCTCACCTGTTCGACCTCCTCTACGAATCTATGAGGTGTCCAGAGCGTATCATCGTGTTCAGTACCTGGTTGGTCGGATAGGTACGAGCCCAGCTGATGATAGTAGTATAGCTCATAGCCTTTATCATCTACCAGATAAGGCTCAAAAGACTCAAAGTATTCCGTGGTAAACGCTGGGCCGCCATGGAGTAGCAGTATCTTAACATGTGCATTGTCTCCCACCTTTCTGGTCCATACTTTGAACGTTCCCACTGGTGTGGTGATGGGTATGAATTGCACACCAGCACTCCCCCGGGAGGTGGATGACTGGGGCTCTCGAATTATGGGGCTCATGACAATGTTCAAAGTTCTTCAATGTAAATACATCATACCATCTCTAGAAATATTTATAGTGTGTATGGACATGATGTTTAAAAGAACAAACAAGAGAATGTGTATTTGAATATGCAAGAATGCTTGTGCCGTGCTAAATAACGTTAATTCGGTTTGCACCTATGTGGGCTAGGTACAGTTGTACACTGTGAACATGAACATAACGGGAACGCAAAACTCTGAATGGTATACGTTTTAACGCAAAAAGACTTATTGCTCCACACATACATACATGAATACAAGCTCATTTTTTAAACCCATATATAGAAATTTGAGATCTGTGTGATAAGCAAAATTACATAGACTTCTAGATTATTAGGCAAAAAGTCACGTACGCGGATGTATTTATGATATACTATATATCGTTATCTTTCACCTATTCATACAATATTCTATGCAGGCCCTACCTTTGTCTATATATACACCGCAGGCCCTACCTTTGTCTATGTATACACCTATACACCGTACATTTTGAACGTATTGTTGTGTGCATACCGAAAATTCCGTACGTATTGAAGTTATCGTTTGTATACATATATTAGCGCGTACACACGGACATATAGATATACATATCTAATACATAGATTAATTTTGAGGGGCATGCTCGAAATCTGCCAGGTTGAAGGCACTGGAACTAAACACCCGTGTATTTTCACCTAAATCTCGACAAACCTTTAAGTGCATTTATAGGAATTTAGGATAGATGTGTGCAGATTGTAAGCAAATTCATTAGGGAAATCCGGGCAAGCTTCCGAACGAAGGATGGTTCACCGGATCCCATCCGTGTAACGGAGAAGAAACAGGTTATATATGTACATGTTAACAAAACTATTCTGCGTTACGAACTATGCTTTGTCATCCCCATTCTTATTGTTATAGACTGCACATTGTGCGTAAACCCAGAATGTCCAGGTGTTATCCATTGTCTTGAGTTTATTAGTCATAAGTACAGCCTTAGCCGAGTCCAAGAAACAGAAGTTTCGCGCCTGAACTAAGAGCTATGAGCGGAGTTCTCTATGCTCTTATTAATCTATTATCTCGGAATGGAAGCTTATGCGATATACTTGTGCACGTGGAGTTTTCTCGTTACATCTTTTGAAGCATATTATGACTCTAATATCAGGGCTATCGATAATACAAGGAAATATCAACCAGGGTCGACATTGCGTCAAGGCCATGCATCGTCACGGACCCTTGAAGTGTCTCTGTGTGCTATCAGGATCATTCATGTGCACAACTGAAAGAGCATCGTAGAAGTACTATTCATGGCTGTCTGTGCGTTCGGTTGCCATGACAGCAAGAACACAACTAGTTGCTAGGTAACAAAGCACACTTGGTTGTAAAATGCGTGCTGTTATTAAGAAAATTTCTCTACAAGCCCATGGGGTATTATAACACGCAGAATACACTACAATCGATGGGCAAATCCATGCTCACACAAGTTGCCATCTTATTAGGTTACCCAAGGCTATTGCCATTGTATCGGTAGTTGCGTAGTGAAAACTATACTACTTGCAATTAACTATAAAGCAGGCTTCTACTAACAAGAAAAAACTGTTACTTTCCCGCGTAAAACCGTATTTCCTCCGAGGCAGAGGATACTACTTCTAAAGGATAGCTGTTCATGCACCTACAGCCGAGCGCACGCTTGATCTTTGTATGTATGTGTGCAGTGCCGATCGAGGGCCGTAGATTGTGGTGATGTTCGATGAGACTTCGGTCCATCCGGGTATGGTCTTCACCTGCGCATCCAATTTGAAGAAATCGTACACAGTCCCCACCTGCATCCAACAAGTCAGCCGAAGGTCAGCATTGTAGCACAGATTGTAATTTGGAGGATAATACTGAGAAACTGGAAATATCCCGGCCTCCCATACGCGCCGTGCAATAAAATAGTCAAATTGACAATAAACCGGCGCAACGTAGCCCATTGTATGAATACTGACTAAATGTATTTAATATTCTTGATTGATTGCAAACGAATGAGTCTCCAAGGTAGGCCTTTATAGTTATTCGTAATGTTATTGACAACGATCTCAATACACAGCTAAAACAAAACGAGTATATGCACCCAGTGTGATGCGCTCGAGCTATAGCTATTCATAATGATATTGACAATGTTGATCTCAATACAAATCTAAAACAGTCCCAAAATCTCCACCACCACGAGTGTGAGCTTGCACCCAATGTGAACAGCACTGCACTATGAAGGTATACGCTCGAGAAGTATACACTCAACAGGCTTCAACGATTCCGGTCCAACAGAATTCATTGGTGCCCTAGACTTGCGACACTTCAGGAAGCCACCAGAGCACGTGCATGTGAACTGTAAGTGCGTTTGATGACTTTGATAGCCGATGAGATACACGGTTCAGAGGTATGATTGTCTTAACACGAGACGCCGACTTCGCCAGGCGCTACAAGGACTGAATACAGTTGGTATCTGCCTGATACCAATCGATTGTGCAACATATTTGGTACTTCAACTCAGGTCTGCATACCTACAGGCGGGCTCTTACAGGTACACATACGCGATACTCCAACATGCGAGCGTGTGACATGGGTGTTGTATAATCAATGAGCTTCCACATCATAGAAGGATGAGCAGGACACTACCGCGTGGCTCGGCCTATACGTCTGCTAAGGCCATGTTGACAGCTACTGCTAAGGCAATGTTGACAGCTTATGCTGAGGTCATGTTGACAGTTACTAATAGCGTGAACGAACAACTACACTTACCTCGCTTATTTCACCGATAATTGCACCTAAACTATACACGAACAAGCTCACGGCATTCGATTAGCATACGTTCTGATAGTACACCAAAATCCAACTCATACCACTGTGTAGGTGGTGTCAGGCTCGATCCATTCCTGGGTCACGAACCAAGCGGGTCCACCCCAGTTCTGGCTCGCCTTGCTTAACAGTTTGCGCACCAATGCGATGAGCACAGTGCCTTGAACTTCTTCATACTGATGGAACTTGTCTGTAAAAGGAATGACTGCGTAGATGTCGGCCTCGGTCACATTGCCTGTCGAGAAGTGAAGGTGGGCCGGTTAGACGGTATGGTGTTGATGACAGACAGTTTGCCTTGAGACGACTGGATCTGATCAGCAGGTACGTGAAACGTATACAATATCTAACTTAGCCTTCTGAAGAGTATGGTACGTGAAACGTATACAATACCTAACTTTGCCTTCTGAAGAGTATGGTACGTGAAAAGTATACAATACCTAACTTAGCCTTCTGAAGAGTATGGTATGTGAAAAGTATACGATACCTAACTTTGCCTTCTGAAGAGTATCATGGGAACATGATCACACGCATGGGAGCAAAACACGAATTGAGATAGGCACATTTGTATATCTCTGGTATCGACAGGCTTCCAAATTGTACACTCAGACAGTCACCTTTGTACCTTGGTACAGATTATCTCTCAGGAAGAAAGCACCTGAGATATAGAACGGCTTGTGCTTCAACGGAGTCTCGGCAAATAGCTGCTCAAGATCAAAGAGAGTGGTGAGACATGGTGAGACGAGAGCGATAACATCATTCCAGTTGAAGTCAATCAGTTCACGAGCCAGGAATTTGGTTACATGGGCATTAATTTCAAAGTTGAACTAGTTATCGACTGTACCGCTTAAAAGATGGGTGGCCAGATGACAGCACACAACAGATTGTCTACCACACTTACTGCAAAAAAACAAATATCCCGCATGCCACAGACTATTAGTTTACCTTGACACTATCCGTACAAGCGAACATAAAAATTTTCCATTGAAATGCACAATACTGGTCCAGGTTCCACCACACACGAGCCCTTGCACACAGACCACACACGGCCTTTGCACACACCGTTTTCGGAATGACGTGCTCCACAAAGAGGTTGCGGAGACTCCACTTGTTATACACCTGCAACGATTTGCTATAGGTGTGCTGCATTTGCCCAACCACCGTATCCAGGCTTAATTCTTCTGTCCATCGGGCCAAGTCTTTCTTCACTGGTGGTTTCGGGAATAAGACAGGTGGCAGAACCAGATAATTGTTTTCTTCAGTAGTTTATTGGCACCAGCTTTGCTATGCCCGACGCGCGTGTGTATTGATTCGCGATGTACAGTCATTACTCACGCATGTATAGCCACAACACCCTCAAACACATAAATTTACCACGATAAAATACAAACAGAATTCCGATGTCAATGCAGAAAAAACAAAAACAAACACAAAATGCACTTGTAAAACTGTATGGTGCATCACAACAACATACATACACTCACATTCAGCAACGTAAGTAAATAGAACTCTAAGAACAACATACAAGCATAGCCACCCGGCAGTTGAAACTCGTTCGTAGGTTCTCCCACATACGACGCCAGTGCCGTGCGATTGCAGCGTATTTGTTTGTGGTATAAATGTGTGATTTTCCCGTCCACGAGCAGGAACTTCGCAACACCTTTCGATGTTTACGATCGGCAATTACATGGAGAAGTTGTATGTATTAGTTTGGATTCGGTGCGAATGAGGAAAAGCATCCGACTTGACTAGGGGAATAGGCCATGCATTCCAACGCCACCCTCACGCATGTTAAAGCAGTTGGGTGCATGAGTAGACATATACCAATCACGGCACCGCTGTGCGATTCGATATGGATACACGTGCGAATGACAGTATGATACCGTGCAATGCCGGATTACAGGGCGTGTCCTTGCATGTACGATATGTCTGTTAATATACAAAACTTCCAGCTGTGTACATGCAAGATATATTGAGACCGCGCAATACTCCTGATCGGCATTTTGTACACTAGGGCAGCACGAGCCCAGAACTGAAAACAAAGGGACCATATCACAACGCTATTCAACGCACTACACCAAAACTTGAGACAACTACGTGACACACAGCACACCTAAGTGGTACAGGTAATGATCCGACTGGATAACGAATGCGTTTTGGTCAACGGCATGGAATCGCATCACATGGGAGTGGCCTGCCAGGAACGCAATGGCAACGTCTGGCTGGGCTCGGCGAATAGCGGTGTGTATGTAGTTCATATCCTCCTGTGATTGGCGAAGCGGAGACCCGTGGGTAATATGAGAGAAATATGCGTGTCTGCCAGCAGAAGTAGCGTAAGGGTGTATATGATGGTATGAGATACCTATACAGTTGAAATTTAGCAAATGGTACACCTCTTAGAGGTATGAATCGGACATATGTGATGCATTAATTCATCGCACTAGGGGTGACCAGGTGAAACGCCAACTGACACCCTCTAAATACATCAATGAAACGATAGTGCGAATGATATCATATCCAGCACTATATAGCATTCAATTCATCGCCCCTCGAACCGAACGAACGTGCACGTCATTGCATAATAGAAAATTCGAGTGTATACTTGCAAAGTAAATCACAGCCAAAACAAAGGTCTACAGGGCGGGAAAGCAATATACTCATACCCATCTACGTCTCGGGGCTTGAGCCACATACCATGTCAGGAGCTATATGCATGATCACAACTATCAGATCTACTGCTTCGGCCATTGCTTTGCGGAAGTACTCCTCCTTGACACTCTTCACAGGAGGCACAACCACCACATTCGATGTGTGTTCCAGAAATTTATACAAGAACCCCAACTTGAGCACACGCATACCCTGAAGAATAACGCGCAAAGCAATAGATGGGATTCGAATTGTGAGTAAGTGTGAGACGTATGCATTTATAGTATGTCATCATCAATGCACCTAACGTCGTAGTCGGTGCTTGCTAACGTATGGCTTCCGCTGAGATGTCGGAATACACTCAGATGTGTAGATACCGGGCAGAACTAATTTATCGATAGCGCTGATCGTACTGAACGCTGCACGCTGTTACGGGACTTTACGATTCAATATGCATTTAGATGTGATGAAATAGACTCCCTGTAAAAGAAAACACCACGAAAAGTGTCCGCGACAACGACAAGCCAAGAAATCGGAACCGTTTCTTATACGCACTCACGCATATACTGGAGGCCAACCATAACAGCCATGGCACAGGCACAGGACAACAACGTTGAAGCCCGTACACTGAAGCTCGATTTCAAAGACCCGTGCGAGTTGCGAAAACGCACGCACAGCGGTACCAAACACAGAGTGAAACAAAACTACATGATCGAGTATCTGCAATACACGAAGAGAGGGTTGTACTCGATACTGATTTGGTACTACAATCGACAATTGGCCATATCTGAACCATAATTTGTGCTCAAAATTGAGTGAATACTGTCATCAACTACCACCCATACCGGCAGAGTGGTTTGTACTTGATATTGACTGCCTCCGAGTGGTTTTCCATTCTCTGCCCACAGCACATTGGACGTGATATAATTCGATCCCCAGTGCGGAGCGAAAGTCTCATGGATGTACTTTGTTACATCCTTGTGCCCGACATCGTGGTTGCCTATACGCATGGATTCAGATATCGCCGTATGAATAGGCAGTGATGCACTATTGAGATGAGTAGTGATCCTGCAGCTAGCAATCTATTGGTGTACAAGTGTGTGCGCTCTTAGAAACTAATTGTAAACGCACACGCCAGCGCTCCTTGCCTTGCATACCAGACGAACTGGCAAACACAGATACACACGATATAGCCAAGACTATGGGATGTCAAAAGCACCATACAACCCAAAGCAGACAACATGAACCCAATCGAAACACACCCACAGCCAAGCCGTCGTAGTTCAGATGTGTCAGAGTTTTGAAGATGTACAGGCCATGCATCTCGGTGGCATCGCTTATGCCAGTGCCCTCGATCAGATCGCCCGAGTCGAACATCATAAACGATGAATTGCGGTTGTTGGCTAGCTCTCGCATGTGAGTGGTGAACGAGTACACGTCACCTATGTCGCAGTTGTATGTGGGCTGGTGCCGATGCCCTGTGATCCAGCCGTGGATGTCGGTAGTCTGCAGGACTGAAGCAAGGGAAAAATCATGAGTGACCAATGAGCTCATTGAAAGTTTCCCGAAATCGAACATAAACGATCTGTTTGGTAAGATCTTGTGTAAGGTCTTCTCAATGCGTTAGCTATCGCATATTGAACAAAAGGGCGGCAAAAATGTAATCCACGTTTAAATACTCTTTGATACTTTGTGGGCGTGTTTCGAGCACAATCCTGTCGTTTAAAAGCTAGACATCACATTGTGAGACGTGAATCACAGCTGTGATGAAAATTATAGAACAAATCGAGGAATGAAATGGAAGGTTGATATAAGTGTGGACTCCCCTATGAGGCAGATTCGAACTCCCAATCTATAACGCGCTTCGATAAATGATATATATATATATATATAGCCACACAACAAAAAAGACACACGAATATATATATATATATATATATATATATTATATGTATATATGTATATATATATTGCAATTGGTGTGTGACAGGTGTAACGCCGAGTCCATGTGATGCATGACACTGTGACCACTGGGTTTTGGAATGTGCATATCATACATACAACATGGTGGAATGTTGCAAACCAAAAACTTACTGTATGTAAGTCCAATAGATTGCGTACGCAATGCTAAGTCTCTGTGATTGGATATGAAGATGTAAGATAACTTAAAGTATAGACTTACAACTGTAAAGTAGTGTAAATTATACTGTATGTAATCCAATAGATTGCGTACGTAATGCTAAGTCTCTGTGATTGGATATGAAGATGTAAGATAACTTAAAGTATAGACTTACAACTGTAAAGTAGTGTAAAATATATAGTTGATGGCGACAGTAACCAGAAGGCAACGGTCACCATCAGTATAACTAGCAGTCAGTGTACGCAAGGACTAACCTATAGTAGGCGCCATATGGGTGAGGGTTAGCGTATATAACTAGATACCATAAAGTGATCAGTCTTCATAAGTTTCTAGGAGCTAATACACTATTTTAATACTCAGTAAAGGTAACATACATTCCAGTCTGGATTTGTTAG